CGATTCTGAGACATAAGAGCCTTCAAGATTAATCTCCCATTTGCATCAATGACTCTCATCATCTTATCTTCGATTGACACTTTATAATTCTTTTCGACCAACTGCCCTATACTGAGCAAATTGCTCTTCATGCCTGGTATGTATAACACATTGGAGATTACTGACCTTTTTCCATCTTTCCTCATAATCATAACATCACCAATATCTTCAGCTACTAGGGTATTGTCATTTGCAAATTTTACCATATTTTCATTGAGGGCTTTATATTGACGAACCAGTCTTTCCTTCCAGACATATGTGATGAACATCCTGAATCCAAGTATCATTGGTCCTTGAATCTATCTTCATCTCTTGTTGTGACCATCAGCATCATCTCTTCTTATTCTTCTTCATGTTTTGCAAGCTTTGCATCACTTTCTTGATTCTTTTGTTTTTCTGGACAATCACTCGAATAATGACCATACTTATGACAATTGTAACATTGAATGTGACTCTTATCAGGTTTTCGACCACCACCTCTTCCCCTATTTGCAACACCACCTCTTTGGTTGCCTTGGTATGGTCTTCTTTGATTCAACATGTTTCCTTCAATCTGGTTTCCTCTACCATTCGATTTGTTGTAGCCACCTCTACCTCTGTCGAAACACTTTCTTTTGCCATTGGTATCTTTTACTGAATATGCCTGCAAGGCCACATCACTCTTCGATTTTCCTGCAGCTCTTTCATTCATTCTTTGTTCATGAGATTCAAGCGTCCCTTGAAGCTCTTCCTTTGTCAATTTCGATAAGTATTTCCCCTCTTCTATCGCCACCACTATGTGGTCGAACTTAGGAGCTAAAGATCTCAAGATCTTCGACACAATAGCTCTTGTTGTTAACGCTTCTCCACATATCTTGATTTGATTTACTAGTTTTGTAACTCTAGTGAAGAAATCAGATATGCTTTCACTGTCTTCCATCTGAAGCAGTTCATAGGTCCTTTTGTGAGTTTGTAACCTCACTTCTTTCACTTTCTCAGCGCCTCCAAAATACTTCTCAAGGATTTCCCAAGCTTCTTTTGCATATTCTAAATCACTAACCTTTTCGAAATTGTCTGGGCTGACACATTGATGAATTATAAATAATGCTTTATAACTCAACTTCTCAGATTCTATGTATTTCTTCTTTTCTTCTTCTGAAGCGTTTTCTCCAAGCGTTTCGACTCCATCTTTTACAAGGTCCCAAAGACCTTGACACTTGAATAAGACTTTCATCTGTTTGCACCAATTCTCATAGTTGTCAACTTTCAGAATTGGTAGGATTGCTGGATAATTTGCATTCTCATAACTTGTCATCGTGAATTCTTCAATCGTTCTTGATTGACACTTCCCTTGAATCGAAACAAAGCTCTTGATACCAGATGTTGGAAATCCACCAAATATTTATGATGAATTTCTACCACAAGGACAATTTAATTATGAGACAAACAAAGAAAAGAAGACAAGACAAATAATTTCTGCAGAGTTTCTCTCTGCTCACAAACTGTGAAAACTTTGTTATTTACTTGCAACTGCAAATTTTGTGAATACAACTTGTTTGACTTGCTTACAAAAAATAGGGGTTACTCTCTCTATTTATAACGGAGCTTACACCATAAGCCCAAAGCCTAAAATATCTTTTTGTTACTAAATCAAATCTAATTTATTCTAGACTTAAATCAAATCTATTTAAATCTAAAACAAATCAAATCTTTTCGATACATAATTTCGACACATTGGATTACAATTTAACAATTTTCAGGTTGGTGATGCTTTGAGAGAAACTGATTTTTAGCACTTCATTTTTTAACTTTTATTCAGCTTTGTATTTTAAATTTTACTGGGTTGATGTGTTTCAGGAATACCACAATGGCCACTATCGCCGAAATTTCGTTTTCGATCATAACTTGACCAAACATCTAAAATATATTTATTTGTTGTTTAGGAAACTATTGATACGAGACACGAGTGATTAGTTTGTTGGACTGAACTAAAAAATGAATGAGGCGCCTCTCCCACATCATTTTTTAGTTTCTGATTTTTTTTTCTTTTTTGATTTCCTTTTAATTAAGTTACTATTATAATTATTGGTTGGGATTTATTTTAATGACAATGCCTATTTTAATATGCTAAAATTTTATATTAATTAATAAAAATTTTATTTTTTGTTTTAAAAATAATTAGTGTTGTAACAACAACTCTACTGATAAATAAAACAAAAATTACATCCTCTTTCTATAATCTTTACATTTATTTTTTTTCAAATTTTTATTAAACCTTTCAATTAAATATTTTTAATATTATTTGATGCAACATAATAGAATATCAAATACAAGAAACGATTATTTTTTAAAAATAAGAAATATTTTTAGAAAAAAAAATTTTTTTCCAAGAACAACATTCTTTTATTGATAAAATATAAAACTATTATTAACATAAAAATTTAAATATTTAATCAATAATTTAATTAATTTATCTATTTCAAATTAAAAAATTAAATGTTAATCTTTTTTTTTTAAAATCTGTATTAGGTAGTATTTGATTATTTGACACTCTTTTTTTAAAATATAATATATTAATTACAATGATATATATGGATATATTAATACATAATTAATGTTATTAAATTTTGAAAGTATGACAAGATCATAGTATTATGATTATACAAATTTAAAAAAGTATGTTGTTTGTTTTATATAATCATTATTATAATAATATTTACAATTATTTATTTCAATTTTCTATAATATTTACTAAAGAGAATAAACATATTAGAAAAATAATAGAAAACAAAAATTTTGAAATATAAGGCATTAAAGGTACTTAAGAATAATATTGAAAAAATACAATTAAATTAAAAATATAAGTCATTTATTGAAATTGATACAATTTGAAATGTGTCTTATTTATTGAAATTTTTGCAATTAATAAAATAGTTAAATAAATCCATCTCATCTCATTAGTTTAATCATGAGAAAAAATATATTAATAATCTAAATAGGACAAAAATATATGTTAATTATCGAAATTCAGGTATACAGCTAAAATATTAATTGAATAAATATTTGTTAAATGTTACAATGTTACCGTTGATCCAAAAATAAATAAAATAAATGTGTATAACACACTAATACTCCTGTAAATACACGGGTATTAATGAGTATAAATGAAACCACCATATTAGTACTCGGGCGTCAAAAAATTATATAAACGGAAAAAATAAAACTACTAAACAAAATTTTAAATTATAAAAATTTATCAATTCGATATATATGTAAAACAATATATTATTGACCCAAATATTTTTAAATGATCTTATTTTAATAAATGAGAATAAGTCTAGAAAAACAAAAATAATGTAAAAACAAAACTTATATTAAGATACAGAAATAAGAGAAATATATTGTTTTTTAAAAATTAATTTAAAATTGGTTTAAATTAATGAGTGAATATTAATTTTTTTTTTAAATGAGAAGAAGTTTTTTATTGATCCAATTTTTTTTAAAATAATTTTAATAATCAAATAATATTTACATATGAGAAAATATAAGGTTGATCCAAATATTTTTATATATGAATCAATTATATTTATGATCCAAATATAAATATAAATATGTCTTTCTTTTAAAAATAATAAATTCTTTTGGTTAAATAATTTTATTTTTCTTTCTTTTTATTTTTATTATATTTTTGAAATGATTGCGCGTAATACACAATATCTGTGCAGAGTATTCCACTAATTTAACATTTAACACAACAAATAAATAAAATATTTTTATATTTATTAAGTTATATTTTTTTACAAGTATTTAAATTTTAACAAACGATTTTGTATCTTTTGTATCTTTTATATATATATATATATATATATATATATATATATATATATATATATATATATATATATATATATATATATATATATATATATATATATATATATATATATATATATATATATATATATATATATATATATATATATATATATATATATATATATATATATATATATATATATATATATATATATATATATATATATATATATATATATATATATATATATATATATATATTGATTTTAATTGATCATTTTATCTATGTATTGGACCGGCCCTTAGAGATAATAGTTCAAAAAAAAAACATTATTTTTTCAATTATATTTCAGCTCCATTTATAAAACTGAATAATACTTAAAATAATATATTTGCTGTAATAAATTTTAGGATAATGCTAACTAGTGTCTCCGAGGCACCGACTAAAAAGTATTAATTATACTGTGAATTCATTAACATTATTAATAAAAAAATTATTAAAGTGTTATTTAAGACAAAAACAAACCTTTAAATTTTCTAAGTCATACATTATTTTTGAATTTGTATCCTCTTTTCTATTTTATTCTCATTTATTCTTCTATCTCTTTATTTCTTTTTTACTAGTAAAATAATTTTATAATAAAAAGTGATAGACAATTATGAGAAAATAGATGAAAATTATTCAATGTATTTTCATTTTTTTGAGAATAATAATTTTATCATTTAAAAAATTAAATAATGTAAATATAAACATGATTTTAATTCAACCGAAATAATTATTAGTATCTCAAGATATTTGTTGAAGATTGACTGATGATTTTTCCTTTAATTCGCATTGCATTTCATAAAGGAAAAAAAAAGATCACATGAAATCTTGTAGTAGTTTTTAGTTTTTCAAGATGTGAAAATTAATAAAGTGATTATAAAAAAAACATTTCAAACTCATGAAAAATCACGATTTTATTTGAATAAAATTTAAGTTTAAATTTTTTATTAAATAATACTTTAATACATTTTTTTAAAGTAATATTAATGAATACCCCGAAGTCACTTGTTAACATTACCCTAAACTTTATTATGTCTTCCAATATATTCCGATCGAATATATCACTTACTCCTTTATTGACTTCACTACTCTTTCAATATATTTCAAAAACCAAAGACAACTAGAACTTTGCTGAGCTGGTACGTCTTAATTGGTATCTTGGTTTGAGATTTGAAAAAAATTCTTCATCTATTTTCTGCAATATTAACAAAAATTATATTAGAAAAAAATTTGCATTCAAAGGAAAAAACATTAGAAGATAAATATCAATAATGTGGCTGAAAATAAACCATGATCGATCAACAATCATCCCTCACACATTTATGTTGTACTCAATAGAAAGTAGTGGTTCTTATGTTGAGAATTAATATGTCAAAGAGTAAATTTTATGGAATAGGGATTAAGGATCAATTCATGCAAGCAACTTCAATGTTTTTATGCTACAACATAGATAGTGTGCCATTTAAGTTTCTAGGGATATATGTAGGATGCAATCCTAGAAGGGTAGATGTCTGGGATCCAGTGGTGAATATGCTAAGGAAAAAGCTAGTAATTCGGAATGGAAGAAATTTATCTATAGGAAAAGAGTGACACTCATAAACTCTGTGCTGTGCAATTTGTCAATTTACCACTTTTCTTTTTACAAAGCCCTAGTAAAAGTGCAGCAACCTATAAGGAAAATTCAGAGAGAGTTCGTGTGGCAAAGAAATGAAGAAAGAAGAAGAAGAATAATGTCATGGAATCATTATGGTGGAGAGATATTGAAGTGGTAGGTAGCATGATGAGTCAAGAGGAAGAAAGTTTCAACAATTATATTTCATGCAACTTCAGTGATGGGGGAGAAGATTATTTTTTGGAAGTCTAAATGGATTGGTGCAGGTATCCTTGCAATTCAATTTCCAGTACTATTTGTTCTGACATCAAATCTAGATGAGAAAGTTGTAGGGCATGGCCAGTGGAGAGAGGAGAAGTGGGAATTGTCCTCGCAACTACAAGATCCTGACATAGAAAATTGGTGCACTTGTTATTTCAATGTAACTTTTCTGTTTCAGTTTGGCAGCAAATCTACCCATGGATTGATAGTGCAGGAATTATTAGGGCAGATCCAAGTTGATAGATTATCATAAAGAGAGAAAGAGAAAGTCTATATTTCATATATTGATCGTATTGAGAGAATGAATACAAAGACTTTTATATAGAGAAGTTAAGCACCACTAACAGAATACGATACAGCTGGCATCACTAACTGAATACAGCTGGCACTACTAACATACTTATTGTAAACCCTATTTACTCTATTATCCCCCCTTAGAATCTGAGGGTGCATCAAGCAAACTGAGTTTGTTGATCACTCTCAGTTTGTCACGCAGAGGTAGAAACTTGACTGCTGAAAAAGGCTTAGTCAGTAAGTCTGCCCATTGATCTTGGGTTGGGACATGCTTCACTATGAGGTTCTTGGAGAGCACTTTTTTCCTCACAAAGAAAATACCTAATTCCATATGCTTAATCCTATTGTGCAGCACAGGGTTATGCGTAAGAGTAACTGCACAGGGTTAGTATTCAATTTCTTGATTAAAGCAAGTAATAAAGGAGGCAGAATTGCCAGTGATGATGATGTCATCAACATATACTAGCACCATTATAGTTAAGCTTGCAGTGTGAAGGAGAAATAAACTAGGATCACATTTGCTAGCATGAAAGCCATGATGCAGAAGGGAGCCTTTAAATTTGTCAAATCAGGCTCTAGGGGCCTGCTTTAGCCCATAAATGGATTTGTTCGGCCTACATACAAGGGTCTTGTCAGAAGCTTCAAACTCAGGAGGCTGCTGCATAAAAACTTCCTCCTCAAGGGTGCCATTTAAAAAGGCATTATTCACATCAATCTGCTGTATAGGCCACTTGTGAGTAACTGCAAGAGTTAGGACAATCCTGACTGTAACTGGCTTCACCACAAGAGAAAATGTCTCTGTAAAATCAGTGCCAACTTGCTGATGGAAGCCTTTAGCTACCAACCAGGCCTTATATATATTAATGCAGTCGTCGGGGTTCTCCTTCACCCTAAATACCCACTTGCAGTCAATTGGCTTCCTAGAAACAGATGGTTCCACCAAGGTCCAAGTCTGATTCTTTAACAATGCATGATACTCATCTTTCATGGCCTGAGACCAATGGGGAGAGGACAAGGCCTGAACAACTGAAGTAGGTTCCACATGTGTGAGTAAAAGAGTTGGATGAATTCTAGGCTTGGTAATGCCACTTTTGGCTCTAGTTTGCATAGAATGAGTGTTATGAGGATGGATAAATGGTTGTTGGGGGGGGTGGTACTGGGCTAAGAGGAGAATTGGTTTCAGGACTAGAGGAAGGAGAAATGTTGCTAGCTTCTGCAATATCAGATGTAATAGGGCTGAGAGAAGAGGGAGTGATGGGAGAATGAAAAGAAGAATTTTCAGAAGCAGGGGAAGCATTGTTAGAAGGTGTTAAGATAGAAGGATTTGTAGAATTAATAGGGACAAAAATAGGAGAATTGGTAGAGGTAATAGACACAAAATTAAGGCTGCTAAGAGAAACAAAACTGGTAAGTGTCACAGGAACAAAGTTGACCTGAGTGAGAGGAATGGCAGGCATAGGAACTGTTGGTATAGACCAGGCAGAAGTGGTATGAGGAGATGATGTGGATGCAACAAGGGAAGAAGAGGGAAATAGAATGGAGTAGGGAAATCTAGATTCATGAAAAAGAACATCCCTGGAAATGTAAATATGACCAGTGGCTACTAGACACTTGTAACCCTTATGAATGGTGGAATAACCATGAAATATGCACTCTTGGGATCTATAGTCCAATTTATGAGAGTTGTAGGGACGAAGTAAGGGAAAACAAGCACAACCAAAGACTCTAAGATGAGAATAGTCAGGTATTTTATGAAGAATCTTGAAATAAGGGGATTGGTTGGAAAGAGACATACTAGGCATCATATTAATTAGATAAGCAGCTGTGACAAAGGCATGATCCCACATTTTGAGGGGTAAATTAGAGTGAGCTAATAAAGCTAGGCCGCTTTCTACAATGTACCGATGTTTCCGTTCAACTATGCCATTTTGGAGTTGGGTGTGGGGACATGTAAATCTATGAGTGATGCCAAAGTTATTGAGATATTTGGTGAGTAGCCTAAATTCACCTCCTCCACCACTTTGAACAACTTTGATTTTACAATTTAATTGAAGTTCAACCATGGTTTTGAATTGGACAAATTGAGTAAGTGTATCAGATTTAAGTTTTAAAGGGAAAACCCAAACAAATCTGGAAAAGGAATTTACACAAGTCAAGAAGTAGGTATAACCAGCTAAAGACTGTATGGGAGCTGGTCCCCATAAGTCACACACTACTAACTCAAAAGGTTGTGTATACACAGTGGTGGGTAAGGAGGTAGGCAGTCTGTGGAATTTACCTAAACAACAGTCTGTGACATAACATTTTTTAATAGTTTTGGCTTAAACATGGGAAAAGGGAGAGGTAATGAAAAGAGAAAATCATCAAGAAAGAAAAAGAGACACACAAGGTTTTATAGGTCATTAGATCTTTAAGAATTAGCTAGTTTGACAGTGATTTGAGACTCTATATAAGTATGATCTATTTAAAAATCTAAAAGCGATTCAGTTTTTTTACAACAACTACTAAGTATTTGATGAAAATTTAAATACATTACCCTAAAACATCTCTAAAGTCTTTTCTTAAGGGTGAATATATATGCATATAATATTAAACAAAAACAAGAGTCTCAAACATAAAATTATAAAAGGAGAAGCAAGATGTACAAGCGATACCTAACATCTCAAAAAAAAAAAACGTAGGAGTACATGCTAATAAATTGATCAAGAAAAAAATCAACACAAATTTAAGAAAAGAATTAGTTCATCAATAAATAATTCAAAAACTTAAAACATCAATTCATAATAAAGATAAAGTGTTGGAAGACTAAAACATTAAATGCTATACACTAATAAAATCCTGTAAAATTATATATTAATAAAGAAGATAAAATATGAAATAAAATATTTATTTATTTAATATTCAAAATAAAATATTACAAAGTACATTTAATATATTAACATAAAATAAATTAATATATTAAATTACAAATTAAAATATCTTAACAAAATTTATTAAATAAATTCTATATTATTTGTGGACGGGTTCTCTATAAATTGTGGGAGTATATATATATATATATATATATATATATATATATATATATATATATATATATATATATATATATATATATATATATATATATATATATATATATATATATATATATATATATATATATATATATATATATATATATATATATATATATATATATATATATATATATATATATATCGTGAGCGTCTATCGCAATCAGCATTCAACAATTTTAAAGGAGGTAGCGACGTTAGGCAATGATGAATTTTAGCCTCCTGAGTTTGACATATATATATATATATATATATATATATATATATTATATATATATATATATATATATATATATATATATATATATATATATATATATATATATATATATATATATATATATATATATATATATATATATATATATATATATATATATATAGGCGTGAGCGTCTATCGCAATCAGCATTCAACAATTTTAAAGGAGATAGCGACGTTAGGCAATGATGAATTTTAGCCTCCTGAATTTGACGAGTTTTGTAGAATTTGGAGCTTCATGTGATACAAATACGTGTTTATGTGATAAGAATAAAATTAGAATACTTCATGGAAAGATTTGAGTGCAAGAATGAAAATATCAATATTGAAAAACTAAAACATTAAACTCTTTAAATCAAGAAAATGCTGTAAAATTCTTTACTAAGAATAAAATCAAAAATAAATTAAATATTCATTTGATTTGATTGATATTTAAAATATGATATCAAACTTAATATATAAAACTCTAAATATATGGCACAATCACAATAACCTAAGAAATTTCTAAAACTTAATAAAAATTAATATACACTAATAATATTAAAGTACTCATTAAAATATTCTAATCAATAATTACTAAATACATCAATATCAAGCCTCAGCAACATGCATCCCCATTCAACAAAACTTAGGTCAAAACATGTGCTACAAATTGAGATATATATTGTATTAAGAACATCCCAATAAAGTCACACACATAACAAAATTATGATCAATACAACAGGAACAAATAAAACTTTAGTATATGAATTGTGTACCTCTATCATTTTGAGTTCGATATTTATTTTCTCCAATCGAAATTTCTCCATCTGTAACTTATTTATGTATTCCTTAAAATATCACATAAAGAAAAACCGTAAATATACATCGGCTAGAATAACATGATACCAAAAGAGGAGTCTTAGTTACCTGTTTCTTTGCCCTAGATTTTGCGGCAGATTCACGGTTCTTCGCCATTCTCTTCTGTTTTCTTTCAACAGTTTTTTCAATCATCTCAACTCCAACGCCGACACCAGCAGCAACAACAATTTCATTTGAATCTAAACATGTAGATGATAAAGGCATTGACATATTCAGTAATTTTTCGGAGTAATCGATCTCCATCGGTTTATTCTCATAAACCGATTGTGCAGCATTGAAATTTGGACATAACCCTAATATCGGTTGATTCTGTAGACGATGATCCCGTTGTTGCTCGAGTTGGATAGAAGGCATTTGCATTGGAATTGACACCGGCATTTGCAGTTCTAATGGTAACCAATGTTGTGACTGTGAAGCAGCCATGGCCAAATTTGATTCATCAAAATGAACATTATTATCTTTTGCATGTTTTTGTTGGTTAATCTCACTCCATATCTCGTTGTTATTCAAACTATCACTAGTGCTCGCAGAAAAAAATGATGAATTACTATTATGATGAAATGAAGGATGGTTTTGCATAAGTTGGTCACTTTCATCTGAAATCACAGTTTTTAGAAGCTCATCAAAAATCATACTATTGGGAGATTTCATTGTATTTCCCAACTGGCTCTGAACCTCTCTAAACATGAGGTTATACACAGATTTTTATCTAACCAGTGGTTGCAATTGATACTTATGCTTTTCTCACACTCAAATATTACATAAATAAATCATTTAAAAAATAGAAAAAAAAGTGCACCTAAAATGTGTGTAACCTAGCTAGCTTTTAAAATTGTTACAAGATAGAAAGTGAAAAAAAAAAAAAAATGCAAGTTTTAAAATGCGGTGGCTCATATTTATAGAGTTCTTTATTTTGAGAAGTTAGGTTTTTTTTTGCATTCTAGAAGTTAGGGTTGAAATAAAGTAATGTTGGTTTGATGAACGATTTCTGAGGCGTCATAAGGAAGAGATTAATAGCTACTTTTGAAACTAATTATGACCTAGTAAACATCACTTTAGAGTTTACTCGAAAGAAAAATGATCAATCTAGAGATAAATTAGACTTTTTTTTTTAATTGTTATTTCAATAACTAAATCACTTATTAGTGTGCTAAATTTTGGTATTTAGAGGACAGAATCCTAATATTCGGTATCCTTTTTGATTATTTAGTAATTTTTCTTTTATTGTTGCACTTTTGTCATTTTGTTGTTTTGGTATTTTGGCTTTAGTATAGAGAACTTTTAAAAAGACAAACATGTTTCCATGTTGCATAGTTTAAGACATTTTTGGAAAAAAAACTAGTGATAATAATATTTAGTATATTAATCAATAGATGAGCTTAGTATAATATTGGACTATCAAAGTTGTATTTGAGGGAATTTGAGTTTCTCTTTAATATAATATAAGTGTAATACGGTAGGAAAACTAACTTTTTTTGATTTTATCTAAATGTGCAGATAGCTAGAGTCGTCATCGATTTTTCTTTTATCCAATATTTAGGAAAGATGAAAAGAATAAGAAAGACATTTGATAGATTTTGAGTTCGGGGGATAAGTTAAGAAAATGGAAGGTATTAACACCCTTTTTATCCGTAGTTATATACGGACTCTTAATCGTTAGCTCACTTTTGAAAATTTGCTTTGTGTATGTGATTTGTTTGAAAATATTTTGAAAAGTTTAAAGTACGACCAACTTTGTAATGATTCTTGTATCAGTCCTCAAGAATGCGTACAAAGTATTTTAGAAAATATTTTTAAAAGTGACGTGTGAAAATGTTTATTTGAGAAAAGTTGTGAGCGATCGATTAACAGTTTTACCCACTCAAAGTCGTTCTTCTTATTTCTCTTTTCTTTTAAAGATAGTGTTATCCGTACTATTAGTTGGTAGGTAGTCCCATCTATTGGATGTGAAAGGACAATCGAGGATCATCGTATGGTCATCGAAGGCAACTGATAAGGATACTTTACCAATTATCAGAGGGACTAGATCATTTGTTCGTAGACAACATCGTATGATCATCGAGGGACTATGATCTTTATACGAAGAGACTTTGCTAAAGTATCCCTATTTTCGAGGGACATGATCATTTATTCTGAAGGCAACGAAAAGAGATTATCCTAGATGTGTGAGTGTGAAAAATGTGTTCAGTTCAATTATATTTATCTTGAATTACGGTTTTCTATGGGTTGATTTTAGTTTTGCCATACAAACCCTAGTTACTAGCAATTGAATAAAAATATTAGAGCTGAAAGTAAAGTGTGGAATGTAAACCTAAGCTATTACATGGCTTCGGAGCAGTTACATAAGTATAAAAATGCGGGAAATAAAACATGCGCTATTACATCTTGGGAGCAGATACATAATAGAGAAAAAGTGTGAGAAAATAAATCTAAGATATTACAATTAAAGAGTGCAACCTATACAATTTTCTAAGAAAATAAATAGTAAAAAAAAATAATAAAATGTTTAGAAAAATGTTTGAATGTTATAAAACCTAAGTTTGTATTTTTGTATTTTTATAAAAATAATCTAAATGATAATAGTAATTAAAACCTAAATTCTAATTGATTTTAATATTTAAGAAAATATTAATTAGCTTAATTAATAAATAAAGAATATGTCAAAAATTGATTATTGATGAAAAGAACCCTAATTCTAATTAATTTTAAGATTAAGAAAAATGTTATATATCATGAAAATTAAATATTAGTTAAAAAATCTAATCCTAATTTGTTAGCAAAAAGTTTAGGTTAGTTTAATAATTGATTAATTAAAAAAAAGGTTAGAAAAGAGAAAAAGAAAAGAAATTAGGTTAAGATAAAATTAGAAGAAAAAAAACTGCATGGGATGGGTGTTAAACCCACGCCCTCCTGACTTTTTACTGTATTGCTTGCCACTAAGAATGACACTCGTTGGTGTTTGAGAATAGGCGCTGTATAATATATGTGAAACCTGCATTAATTCATCTCAGGAACACATTAGAATTGTTAGTTTCAATCAAAGCATCATGAATATTAAAATATGAATTTCACAAAAAAAACATGAAACCGGCAACGCATGGAAGTGATTGTTTTGGACGTGGAATTTCTTAGGCAATGACTTGGATCAACTCCTTTGATCATCAGAAAGCGATTGCTGGCTTTGGTTTGGACTGAAACTGCTTGGAATTTGGAATTCGATTGCTCACTTTTTCTTGAATTTTTGTGATTTTTTGAGACTTTCTTTGGAGGAAATTTCGTGATCTTGATGTTCTAAATGTGTTCTCTATTTATAGGTCATGAATTAGGTGAACAAACATGAATTAAATCTTTATATTTCATGACAAAATATTTGATTTGATTTTTTTATATAGAAACATATCTTTTTGAGCTCAATCTTGTGTCAAATCCAATCTTCATGATCCCTCACGATTTTTTAGCATGATTATGTGATATTGAACTCATGATTTGATTCAAAATAGACCCCCCCCCCCCCCCCCCCCCCCCACCTTGTATAATTTATTTGATATTTTAGTTGATTTATTTTGCTTTTAAATGAACAAAAATTAAAATAAAATAAAATAAAAAATAAAAATCATAAAAATAAATGAATAGATTTATGAGTCTATTATGAGATCAGGAACACGTTTGGACGTTGAAATATAAACCCATTAGCCTAAAAATTCAAGTTTGCTCAATTTGGATTTCATGCATTTTCTCAAAAAAACTTATGCAACTCATAACTCCTAATTTTTATCATATGAAGATGACCTTAGACTTTTTGGAAAGCTCAAGGTGTCTCCTACAACTCTCATGTTGATCATGTTTTCATTTGAAGCATTCATCTTGATGTAAATTGCTTTAACAAAAAGTGTCTTTTTGTTGACTTTTAAAATGACCTATAATGTTTTGGCCCATATCTCTCAAATGAAGCATTTTTTAGCCTTGAGCTTAGAGAGAAAAAGTTGTAAAGAATTGAATTTACTTTAAAATGAGCTTTGGTTAAGAATTTTCTAATGAAGTATGTGAAAGTTATGCTTTGATCAAATAATAAATGTGAGTTCAAAATGTTAATGTTGATCAAAAATCTTGAGGTTTGACTGTAAGTTGACCATAATTAACTTTTTACGCAACGAAGTTGATTTTCAATCATCTGAACAATTGACTGAGCAAATTTATGATGTAAGGCTTGAAATTTGGAATGAGGATATCTTAAGACATATGAAAAACCATGAAGTCCACTTGGGGCATTAGAAGTCCAATTTCCTCTGAGAAAACCAAAAGCCTAATTGTAGGCTATTGCTTAGGAGGAGGGTTCATCTGATCAATTCTTGAGTAGTCTTGAATGCTTGAGCCTTGAATCAATTTTTCTTTGAAAAATGGGAGGGCAAATTTTGGGGTATAACAGTTTCCCCTGTTGAATCATCTTAAACCTGAGAAGCTAGACTAGCACGCTTGCCATTCGAGATCTGAAGGTGAAAGAGGATTGAACACTTAAGTACCCAGAAATTTGCACTCGCATATGTATGAAGTAACACTTGTTGGTTGATTGTATTGCTTGAATCAGATTAGAGAAGCCATTCAGAGAGGTGATAGGGTGTCACGGGAGATGGGATTAAAGATGCCATCTAAAGTAATTGTTAATAGGAGTATCAAAATGAGTCTACGCTTGACTGTATCTTGAAGAATGCTTTTCAGGATTCCGGCTCTGAAGGGGAAATACTTTTCAGAATGAAGCGTTGAAGGAGATGCTTTTCAGAATAAAAATTCTGAAGGAGATGCTTTTCAGAATGAAGTGCTGAAGGAGAAATGTGTTTCAGAACTCATCTGAAAGAAATGCTCACACAAACTCGGTCTCTGGGGGGAAATGTTTTTCAGGGTTCTATCTCTGAAGGAGACATGCTTTTCAGAATGAAGCGCCGAAGGAGATGCTTTTCAGAATAAAACTTCTGAAGGATATGCTTTTAAGAATAAAACTTCTGAAGGAGATGCTTTTCAGAATGAAGTGCTGAAGGGGAAATCCATTTCAGAACTCCTCTGAAGGAAATGCTTGCAGAGCTAGGTCTCTGGGGAAAATGCTTTTCAGGGTTCTATCTCTAAAGGGGAAATGCTTTTCAAAATGAAGCACTGAAGGAAATGCTTTTTCAGAATAAAACTTCTAAAGGAGATTCTTTTCAGAATAAAACATCTGAAGGAGATGCTTTTCAGAATAAAACTCCTGAAGAAGATGCTTTTCAAAATGAAGTGCTGAAGGGGAAATGCGTTTCAGAAATCCTCTGAAGATAATGCTTGCCAAAACTCGGTCTCTAGGAGAAATGCTTTTCAGGGTTCCATCTCTGAAGGGGACATGCTTTTCAGAATGAAGTGCTGAAGGAGATGCTTTTCAGAATAAAACTTATGAAGGATATGTTTTTTAGAATGAAGTGCTGAAGGGGAAATGCGTTTCAGAACTCCTCTAAATGAAATGCTCGCTAGAACTCGGTCTTTGAGGGAAATGCTTTTCAGGGTTCTATCTATGAAGGGGACATGCTTTTTAGAATGAATCACTGAAGGAGATACTTTTCAGAATAAAACTTCTGAAGGAGATGTTTTTCAGAATAAAGTGCAGAAGGGGAAATGAGTTTTAGAACTCCTCTGAAGGAAATGCTTTCCAGAACTCGGTCTCTGGG